GCCACAAGCAAGAGGATTTCCACACAGGTTGTCACAGGAAAATTGCGCTTTATTTGAACAAACCATCTGTGGAGAAACAAACAAAGGAGGCATAACCAGGCAAGTTTATCTATATTGCAATTGTATAATACTAATCAAAAGTATTTTTGCTAGCTGGAAACTACATTAGTTTATTAGTACGTGCCTCAATTCACCCTTTTTATACCAATAAGGCAAACAAGACAGTCAAAATCAATATAAAACCAACAAAAAACTCAATTTCTATGTAATACCAACCATTCTTTCTGCTGCAAAGTGTTGGCCAAGACAAGACCTCCAAACAAGTTCTGGACATGGTGGACATGATGTTCCCGCAGTTGGTTCACTCTGATAATTGTGTTTCTTTTTCTTCGGTTTCAGTGTAAACTCTGGGTTAGGCGGAGGTCGAGGACCATGACACCTAAAACCAGAAAAAAGAAAGGAAAGATTATACAAAAAGAAAATAATGAAGACCTTGTCACTTCACCCAAACTTTAAAAAAAAAAAAATTACCTTAATTTGCAGGCATGGCCACAAGAATACTCTTCACCACAGGGAAGTCCACAAGGTGGGCAGTTTCCATAATGACATTTGTGAGGCTAGTGCACAAAAATCAGTGCAAATTGTTTAAGTGATCATGTTGTTACAATTAACAATGAAATTGAAAAATCTAGATAAGCACCAAGAGAATTGATTTTTTAAGCCACAACAGTGTTGGTGTGCTGTGGTATGGCATGTTATAAAGACCCACAAATTGAAGCCGAATATTAATGGGCATGTAGTCTATTAAACAAATGTTATTAAGGAAAAAGAGACATAAGTAACTAAGGATCATGGCCAAGGAAGAAAAACAATCTGATAAGATATTTCCACATCCAACCTAATGCAGACTTCAGAGTTCAGACTATTCAGAGTTGAGACACCAAAACGTTGTTGAGAGGCAAATCAAAACATACCTTACAAATTGATTTGTGCCTACATAAAGGAGCTATCCGACATGTTTTGCGGCAACGAGGCGGCTTCTGTTCCGTTTCTGTACCACAAGGAACCTGGTCGCAAGTACGCAGATAGCTTATAAAACAATTCAAGTGTTGTGATTTTCAATAACAAATATAGTTGTGGGTTATTTTGATCCTTGCTGTTATCAAGATTTTGAAATGAAATAGATATGGTTTCAAAAGGATTTCTTTTGTCAAAGAAGCTCTTCATTACACTCTTCTCCAACCAAAAATAGATATTCAGGTTGTTTTGATTCTTGCTCTAAACATAATTCATTAGCATCTTCATAAAATGATAGTAACTACCTATGAGATATCTTTATAGAGATTCCAATCAACAGAATCTTATATCATGTAAGTATATAGCTGATAAGTGTCTGATAAAAAAGCAACCTTCTAAAAGACGAAAATACGAGTAACTCAATAGGATGATGATATCACTTTGCCCTGAAAAGATACCTTTTCACTTTTAAGTTACAACAACCTTTGAGGATAAAGTTTGACCAAATTTTGTGGGTATCCGTTACTGAAGGGGCAAGATTGTGAGCATTCTACTTACAATTTCCATGCCCTAGATATGAGTTACTTAAGAAACAAGAAGCTAACTTTAATGTTGTTTGGTTAGTGTGGCCTAAATTCCATAAGCCCGACTAATTATGTCTCAAGGTCTACAAAGATTACTAGAAAATTATAGTACAATGAAAAAATGATAGGAAAATTGTGGAAGAACCTAGAAGAATTAGATAATTCTCAAGATGCTTCTAGATTTAAGTGGACTTTTTCAAGAGCATATATGTATGTAGAAGTTTTCACACACTTCTTCCACCTCCATATCTCATCTATAAATATTAATGTTGGGCATCATTTGGAGAGTGTATCCACCAACATCATTCTCCAATGCTTCGATTATACACAAAGGTTTATACCTACACTCAAAGAATGTAAGCTCTACACACTCTCTTTAATCCAATATTTTCTTAAAAAAAAACTCCTTTCATATAGTGAGAGTTTGCTTGTACCACTCACCCTTTCAAGGGTTCTTGTACTCTCCGTGGATTATTTGGGGTACTATCGTCGTGGGTTTTTGACAATTTTTTTCCAGTTAAATATTGTTTCTCTTTTAACTACTCCATCTATTGCTAAACAATTGACATGGTCAAACTTGACACAGATGTCAATGCACTAGTTTGACCTTCGATTGTCAAATATAAAATATTTAACATTATGAAACTTTATAATAATAATATCTACTCTCTATGTCCCTATTTGTTTGCCTCATATTATATATATGGATGTCCCTTAAATATTGCTCCATTACCTTATTTGGTAATATCTCCCACCCTCAACCACTTGCAAACTTTCAGCAAACTTTGGTTCAATCCTTAATAGAGCACAATTTGCACAAAGAGAGCATTTAACAATATATTTCAATACAAAATTTGTGTTTTATACCTTAATAAAAACGATGGTCAAAGTTAGTATATAAAGAGTGAAAAAAGTCAAACATGCCAAAACGTTGAATTCTCACCTCAAAACGTGTCTCTCCACAAGCACATGAAATGGTTACCATAAGTGGACAAGGTGCACAGGGTCCTCTAAAACAATATAAACATAAAAGCATTACTTTATATTTCTGAATGAAAGAAAATAATGATTATTCAAATCTATATAATATAAGGTCGTGTAAATTTGCACGTGATAACAATGAACCAATAATAATAGTTAACACTAGATAACTAGTGTCAAAATAAAATTAGATTGTAATATCAATAACATCATCACATTATGCAAATGCTTTTAGTTCATTTTTAAAAAATGGCAAAGGAATTATTTTTTTAGTTTAAACCAATAGCATTGTCATTTGCAGTATACCTATGACATGGAGAAGGGCATTTGTGATTTCTGCAACGGAGCCTCCTGCCACAAACCTGACAGAAATTTAACTCCATTCAGAACAATATGTTATGAAACCACAAATCATAAGCATCAATAATAGAGCAATAAGATGCACCTCTGTACAAGGTGGACAATCTCCATCGCAGCAACGACGCCTACATGCATGGCGCCCACAATCACGTTCTCTCGAACACTTCCTTTCACATGCCAAATCTTGATAGCAAGGAACCTATATTATTGTCAGTACGCATTGGTCTATGGCTCTATGCCATCGCAATATAGGCACATAGCATCTAAATCCACATTCAACCAAAAGAAATTTATATACCTGTTTCTTTACGCTTCCACATCGACATGACTTTGTGATCATGATTCTACAGGTCTCGACGCAAGATCCACGATGACACCTTTCATGGCATGTATGCTTGCCACAACTCAGCTTCTTATCACAGGTTGCCCCACACAATGCCACCTCAACATCACAAGGTATCCCTTCATAAACTCTTCTCCCACAGGGACAAGTCCTCCTACCCTTAAGAGGGCAATGACCGCACACGCCCTCATGGCACCCTCGCTCGCAAACATGCTTCCCACAATCCAAACCCTGCCCGCACGGATTATCACATCGAAAATCCCTATCACAACACTCCCTCTCCTCCTTCACCTTCCCACATTGGCACCTATACACACCCTTCTCCCTACATGGTGGACACTCATCATTATGGCAAATCTCAGAACACCTATGAATCCCACAATCCAAAACCTTATTACATTGCTTATTACATGAAAATTCCTTAAACCCACATCTCCTAACATCCTGAACCCCCCCACAAAAACACTTACTTTTCACTAATTTAGGGCAAGAAGGACAAGGTCCAGGGTGACATAACAATAGACAAAAATGCCCACAATTATTCTTCAATGGCCTCCCACAAATCTCCCCACAAGAATGGGGCAAAACCCAAGGATCATGAGGTGGGTTTTCCAATTTACCACAAAAACAATAATAATTCTTAGGAATTAAAGATTTAGAATACTCAAATCTACATTTAGGACAGTTCCATACCGAAGTATCGGCCGCGGTCTGAGCCGAGATGGGGAGGCGCGTGAGGGCGCGTGAAGCAGCAAGAGCAGTAGATTGCTGAGCCCAATTCTGAATACATTGAAGATGAAACACAGAGAAGCAAAACCCATTACAAGACCAAGTGGGGTCAGTTGATTTGATGCGCTCAAGGCAGATGAGGCAAGAAAGAGCTCCTGAAGAAGAGGAATTAAGAAAAGATTGGATCTTTGTAAGGTCTAATGATTGAGGGGAAGAAGATGAATCTTGGCCGTTGATCTCGAGGTAAGCTTTGAATATGGTGTTGGAGAGATCAACATGGCGGAGTTGATGGGCGGAGGAATTGGGGGCGGTGTCGGAATCATAGTCGGAGGTGTCGGAGGAATGGGATTGTGGCGGGTTTTTGGTGGAGGACATTTTGGGACTTAAAAATTAAAACCAAAAGCAGAAGAAACGAAAATAAAGAGCAAATTGGTTAAAATACTTTGTACATCACTTGTGAATTGTGATTCAATAATCATCCCTAACTAGTATGTTTTGATTTCATGTTTTCCCTTACATCCAAAATCAATTACTGCGGAAGTCCCGAATTCCAATGATTTTGTGATGTAATATACAATGGAAAATTTGCAATGTATTGACTTAAATTGATTGGAGCTGAACTAAAATTAAACTGAAAAGAAGAGGTCCTTAGTCTTTAGATTGAATATTATTTCACTTTGATTCCATGTTTTTTTTTTCACTGGTGACCTATTATATTTTAAATTTTATTTTTTTTTTCCGTTGTGAACCATAATTAGTTTTACCGGTTAAAAAAACTAGTATATTTTACTTATATAACTTCAACATAATATATTTCCGTCAAAATAAAATATATATATACAGTATTTATATTTTATATCAATAATGAATTTTGTTGCTTTAGATAAATAAAATCAATTGAAGAAAACACAACACTAACTTTTTTTTTTTGGAAGACAAAAACACGACACTAACTAGATAAATCAGAGGTGCAAATTGAACAAACATTAACAAAAGGAAATAAAATTGAAAAAATGAAGGTAACAACCACAAGTTTCAACATCCAAATGAAGCATATATACAATGGCAAAACCACAATCACCAAAATCCCTCTTAACTGCATTCCACAAGTCTTTATATTCGTAGATCTAATGACTTGGTGCATTTTCGCACACAACGGAAAAGTAATACAACACATAGGCGGGAAAAAAAACGAAGGAGATGAGCAACTCAAATAAACTGAAAGCGCATGAGAAGCTTGACTGATGAGTACTTTATTCCCTCACGGCTACAAAGTGGGACTGACCGTATACCTTCTCTGATCTCCCAAACAGGCAAACATGTTTGACCTCCAAAATCGTCTTTCTCAGACATGTCATACTCATGAACTTCAATCCGAAGGAGTGCAAGTTCAGGAACAGTCAGTGGGAAGACAAACTCTTCATTCCAGGCTGGTATCCAGTTATCTTCTAACGTTTTTGTTTTCTTCATCACAGTATCTGCTGCCACTCCCGCAATCCCAACCTGAAATTGAAAATTTATTGAGATGTTTACGAGGGTACCTTATTGCCACCAAAAACTAAAACATTGTGTATAACAATATTCAGTTCTTGTGTATGCTGTTATAACTCAAGATAACTCAATGCAACACCCCCTGCTAACAACCTTCTTATGACTTGGGAGATCAAAGAAGTGCAGTGGATAGTATCATTAACAAGACAGACACATCACACAACCCCCACGATCCCAAGGTTTTCTCGTCATATATACTCATATTCTTATTATAAAAGTTGATAGGGTGAAAGCTTATTCCCAGGCGGAGGGGGCATATAGAAGCCTAATGTTCAAATATTTGGATCTGTCCTGTACCTTGGAATGAGAGTCCATAACTAAAGTGGACAAGCTTGCAAGTCAACCTAGTGTTTAAAAGTATTCTCGAGGTTTTAGGTTGTGTTAATTTGGCAGCTTACCCGAACATAAAAATCTGGAGGGGAAAATTGATCAAAATGTGTATGCTTGAAATCATAATACCATCCTTCTCCCATGAACACAGTCACCTGCAAATTCAGAAGATTAAATCAGCACCTTTCTACTTAAAATTAATTCGTGAGGGCAGACAATGGGCAGAACGTTTTGTCAACAGTACAAATAATTTGATGTAGTTACTAACCTTCAAAGTCTTTTTGACTTCAAGTTTAGCTTTAGGATCAAAGACCTCGCCATTAGGACCACCATTCAGAAGAAAATCTGGTTTTTTCACATAACCACATCCACCGTTGGCTCTGAACATTCCTTGCATCAGCCAGAGGGATCTTCCATATCCCTGTCATTGGAGAAAATTATTATCTTAAGCTATACTGGGACAAAGAATTACAGAGATAGCACAAGCTTCATTGCTTTGACAAGGGAGGTTAAAAACCTGCATGTTAAATGCAACCATCTGAGCTCCATGCATCCATCCAATGAGAGGGTTGTAATTTGATGAGGTAATTCGAGTTCCCTTAGGGTAGATCCTAAGCATGTTATTCTGCGTAAACCTGAAAGAAAAATGGAAAACTTTTTAACATCTGATTTGGTAAATGATTTGTATTTGCAGATACACAGAATAGGGAACAGGGAAAAATAATCAGCTGAAGCCCAGTCAAATATTAGTTGTCACATAGTCTCTCAAGTACCAACCCCCTATAATTTAGGATATACCGTGTATCAAGTATTAATGGACTACTCCATTAATCTATTCTCTCAGCCATTATTGACAGCACCATAAGATAATGAAGAAAATGTTATGCAGAAAGTGACATTAGCAGGGCTCACTAAGAGAAATATGTTAAGATTGACATGAATACCTGACAATCTCCTTTCCATTGCGAGATGCCGCCTTTTCAAGCTGTTGTTCACTCAAGCTAAGACGTCTCACCTTATTAGGATCCACCTTTAGTGCTTCGCTTAGACCACCCTTGGGTTTTCCAGCATGAATAGCAATGAGGCGTGTGTATTCTGGTGCCTCAAACTTTTTTGACTTGTTAATGTCATCATCAACTTCTTCGTCATCATCATCATCATCATCTCCATCATCCAATTCGTGATTCTGGAATTCATTTTGTTACCACCAAAAAATTGAGGCACACAATAGAGGAAGCAATTTTAAACAAATTCTATACCTTCTTACTATGAGATTTAAGACTAGGGACTTCCTTTCCCCAAGCTTCCTCATCTCCAGAATTGTTGCCCCTCTGCGAATCTTCCTTTGCATCTTTATCTTCATGATACACTATTGGCGGCTTTGTTGATATCAAAAAACGTTTCTTCAGTGAAGCAGGGGAAGGAAGTTTCTTAAAACATTCTGAATCCTGTTCCGGTGAAAACAGCGCGTTCCCAAATGTTTGAGTGATCATCTACAGGATAAATTCATTAGTGAGTTATTTGTTGGTGGATGTTTCCATGAGAAAAGCTAGTAATTTATGGCTCTCAATGGAGATGATTAAGGTGAATAGCCAGTTATGTGATTAATTAGCTTCCAAAATACAGATTGACCTTCAATTGATTAGAGACTCACCTCAGCAGTTTTAGCTTGAAGATCGGTAGTAAGGTGGTCTTCAAGAGTTATCACGACAGGATAATCAGATGTGGAGAAGGCATGTTCCTTGATGGATCTTAAACATCTAATGAGCTCAACAGGTGAAGTCATTGTCCTATACAAGAGTTGAATCATACCCAGAGACGGTAAATGATAAGCACAGTATTACAAAGAAGACAATTGGCTTTAAACATGTCAAAATTTTAAACATCATTAATTCAATAAAACAAGTCATTGCTGCTATGTCAAGGACATGCAATATCAAAGTAAATACATACCCTCCATGAAGAACATCAACATTGTCTTTAGAAGAATTGGGCCATATATCCAACTCGATCACTCTCACAGACTTTTTCAGTGCATGTATGATAGGAACATCACTACAGTCACTAGTCAATTGATTCCCAGTAAGATAAGAATTGTGACCAGTATATATGAAATATTGTGACAGTGGAGCAGTCATATCTTGGTGAACCTACAAGAATGAAAATATGATAATTGGTGGAGAGTGTGGAGGACAGATGTGGAAACATAGATAACATAACACACATGGGAGACAATCACAGAGCAAACACAAAATGTTGTGTGTGTGTGTGTATAAGAAGAGAGGGGGGGGGGGAGGAGCTGGGACAAAAGGTGCACTTTTAACCATAACATTAAGTACCAATGGCCAATTACCTTCAAAAGCCTCCAGCCTAGGCCACAGAAAATAATTTGAATACATAAATCACGGATGCAAAGCTGAACACAAAATATATGCTTTTCCACATATTAAGCATGCACTCAACTGACAAAACACAAACCAGTAAACAGACTCAAAATAATCTTCAGATAATAACAACCACCCAACAAATTCAAGAGCTCAGGAATGTTAAAAGAAATAAGAAACTTATTCGGGGTTGGGAGATAGTTTGGGAGCTCAAACATGAATGACATGACACCCAGCTCCATAAGCATAATAAAGACAGCAATTGCAAAAGAATCCAAGGAGATGAAACTATTTGCAAAAGATCTAGAAAAGCGGTACCAGCTGTAATGAATTGGAGTGGATCAAGATACTCACCAAACATCACCAGGTATTAGCAATCTAGCAAACACCACAATGAAGAAATTATAAATTGGGTAGCGCATACATCACTTTATTTACTTACAACCATAAATAACGAATTCGTATGAGAATGGTAACTGTCCTCGCAGACTACATTAATTTAAGAAATCAATGTCATTCCACAAATTAGGTGGCAAGAGATATGATACAGTAAATAAGGAAACCAGGCATAATCATCAGTTACTTAGAAGGCAAATCTAGAAAAGAAACAAACGGAAGATTTACTGATGCAAGAACAAAACCAATTTTGATCGGGAACATAATTTATAGTACTTGATACAGGCAGAACTTTAATTGAAGGGGTAGAACTGAACGACTACAATGAAGCTCAGTCCACAGGATAGTCTGCAACTCTGCACTGTTTTTATTTCTCGGTATTCTTACTTATCAAGAATATAATAGCATGAATTAATTTACCACAACAACCAGAGCTCTCCTTGATTATGCATTGCAAGGCAAAATGCAATTTGCGAAATTGCTACAACAGCCAGAGATTACAAACAATTACAACAACCAAATATAACAAACCAACAGAATAAACCATCCATCATAATCTAAGGAACTACCTCCCTCAAATGAAATAAACATGATCTCAAATCAGTCAAATTTACGTACACCCAGGCATATAATAGACTCGCCCTTTCAGCAATGCTTTCCCATTCACAGTCCAAACTTTTAGCATTAACACTTTTACTTTATCAACATCAACAGAAACTGATCCATTTTACCAAATGGGTTAATAGTGTATCAACTTGAAACTAACAAAACAAAAGCCAAAACTACATTTAACACATCAATGTGACTAAATACAATTACTTCAAATAGTAATATGCATATGCTTGTCTAAACATGCTGTAGCTTCATCCATGAATAGCTTACTAGGCCCCACAACAGAGTAAAGAAAGTCAGTACAATTTAGGAAACACATTCCAAGAGCAAATTTCACCCCAATTGGGTAACCAAAATCCAAAATTCAATCCAACCCATTAAACTAAACCATCAACATCATATAATTCACAAATTTCAAATACCCACATAATAATTCAACCTCAAAAGGCAAAATTGAAATAAAATAAATGGCAAAAAAATCAAAATTAAAGTAAAAATTATACCCCAAGTTCAGGAGAAAGAGGAGGATTAAGATCCCCAAAGAGGTACTTGAAAAACCCTTCAAGATTAAGGCCATGTTTATGAAAAACAACAACAGACCTAACACTATCAATTAAAGCTTGAGCATTTTCAATAGTAGCTTTATCTTCCTTTTGTTGTTCAAGAAGAAAACGATGAAGATTAGTAGCAGTCATAACACCATTTTCAGAGTAATTCTCAAATAAGGCCTTAATCTCTTTTGGGGCCTCTGAAGCTGTGAGCTTGAATCTTCTTCTGCAGCAAAAACATACTTTGAATGTTTGGTTTGACATTGAAAAAGATGAGAATTTTTCTGGGGTTTCTCAGAATATTTTTGGAACAAATTTAACAGGAAATTGGTGTGACGTTTGGCTTTTTGTATGCCAAAATTTAATTTTTTTTTTTTATGAATTTAAGAACTGGGTTTAAATTTTGAGGAATTAAATAAATTTATCGTAGTTATGATTGATTATGATTGTTGTTTGTTCAAGTAAAGGATAATAAATTTGCTGTGAAAAAAGGAGAATTAATTAAATTGAAGAAAATGTGATGGATTTGCTCGGCAGAGACAGGTGGATTGGTGCAGGTTTTGGGCCCCAGGTGATGATAGTGTATATGGACCTTTTTTTTTTTTTTTTACTGTACTATTTTTTGGAAGTGAATGTGTGCATTTTATATGGTAGAATATTCTATGCGTTGCCATTATTTTTTACCGTATTGGTGAAATTTGACCCGACTAAAAAAATAAAAATAAAAATAAAAAAATAATAGAATTATTACTCGCATATCAATAAAGTTTTAGAGCAAGACTTGGGTGGCATCATCATTTTGAGTCTTAAAATTTATACTTAAGACTTTTCCCATTTTTTTTCAAAAATCTCAAGCAAGTCTCAAGTTGAGTCTTGAAATTTCAAGACTCAACTTAAGACTTGAGATTGGGACCCACCTCACCCACTTCATTTTTATTTTTATTATCCTTTTTTTTACACTTTTCTACATATAATATGTCAAATATTTAAGTCTTAGGGCTAAAGTGATAAATTTGTGTAAGTCTTAGTGAGTCTTAACAAGAATTTGATGACATCATTTTCAATGGGGACCACCAAAAATGATGTCACATCCAAGTCTTAAGACTTGGGGTTAAACTTGCTCTTACTCCGTACCTATCTACAACAGGTGGGTAGCAATATAAAAAATAAAGTTTTACTCCGTATTAGCTTAATATATAGGCAACGCTTAACATAAATGACCTTAACTTAAAATTTTATACTCCCTCCGTGTTTTTTTAAGTGATACATATTGACCAGCACATAGTTTTAGGCAATTTAATTGACTTAAATAAAATAAGAGGTAAGTGGGGTAGTGGCGTATTAAAAAATTGTTAAAGAAATATAGTGGGGTTAATAGTTTATTGAAAAGTAATAAATGTAAGAGGAAAGATATAATAAAAAAGTAGTAGTGGGTTTGGGTGGGGGTCATGAGATGAGAGAGATATAATATTTTAATGTATTGTTTTGTCAAAAAAGGAAATGTATCACTTAAAAAAACACGGCCGGAAATGGAAAATGTATCACTTAAAAAAAACACGGAGGGAGTACGACTAATGTTAAAGTTAAACTTAATTTTCATTTTATTCAAGTTCATATATTTTGGTGTTTATTTCATGAAGTGTCATCCTACAATCGATAAATTCACAATAGTGATTGCGAATTATTGTGAATTGATCAATTGTGCAAATTATGTGGTTTTAATATTATTGAGGTATGACCATATAGTGGTAACGGTGGAAGATGTATTTTTTAAACAAACCTAATCTATTACTCAGCTCGTAGGTTTTATTGCAAATTGAAAGCACATAGTTGACATATTTTTCTATTTTTTAAACAATTTTTTTTCATATCTAAATACTGGTATCAAGTATATAACATATAGTCAATATTAGTCTTTGGAACATTCATATTTTTAACTATCTACCTTCATATATAATATTTTAATCGCATAATTAATTTTTATAATTACATGTAGGGTTTTAGGATGCATTTTTCTTATGTAATTTTATTTTTTTTAAGTTTGCTTTTCCATTATTTATGATGTAAAAAAAAATTAAAAAAAATAAATAAAATAAAAAAGTGAAAAAAAGACCAACTGATGTAGACAAATTTAAAAGCTAGGTGTCCCATTCATACAACTATCAAGAATGCGATCTATTCAGCTATCTTGAATTTTTTACTTTTAAAAAAAAAAAAAAACAAATCTGGAATTTTTAACTTTCAATCTACATCAATTTGTAGTATTTTACTACGGAGTAATGACAGAATAAACGTGAATCCGACAATAAAGTACTGTTAATTTTGCATTCAAAATTTAAAAACGTGTTAGTGCAATATCTGAGATTAGAACTATTTTAATAAGATTCTCCGTATTATTATTGACGGATTAGTTGTAGAATGTAGACATAATACGAAGTAATAAAGATATTATTGTTTATTAGTGAAATCAACAGTCAACGTAAACACTAGAAACCAACTCCGAACCCTACGTGGAGACATATATGCTCCTCCTACTTCTTATTACAACTTTGAAAAGGAATACCGACTTACGGAGTACTACCAAATTTCAAAAGTTGACTTTTTACCTATAAAGATCCGTATAGTATTTTTACTAAGACTCTGTTTAATTTGATGTAAAATATTTTTAATAAAAAATTATTTTTCTTGCAAATCATTTTTTTCAAAAAATAACAATTACAAATTAATTTTCCTTAAAATGTTTTCTTAAGGAAAAAAATTATAGAGAATAAAACAGGAGACTGGAGTGAAAAAATTAAGAATAAATGTGAGCAAAGTAAAAAGGAGGTAAAGAGGAGATGGGAAAAAATGGCTTCTCTTTATATTTTAAGGAAAGATGTAAGGTTTAAATATACCAATAATGATCGATCCAATAAGTTTTAAATGAACGGTCAAACTTAAGGAGCAAGAGGCCCTCAACCACTAATGTGCGCCAACCCCACTTGGTTGCTTACTCGAAGTTGAATTGACTTGTGAAATGTTTTGGCCTGGTTGGATCTTAACTTCCCTTTACCAATCGAAAAATCAAACAATTGTCCATTTACAAAGTTTGGGCAGACTAGTCACCTTTTAGTGTGTTTTTTCTTTCTTTTTTTTTAAAAAAAAAATAAAAAAAATAAAGGGCCTAATGTTTATAAAGGTCTAACTATTTTTTTTTTTCCCGAAACAATTTCAACTATATAGTTCGCTTTAAACTTAAAAGCTTAATCAAAAAGACATGTATTTAGTCAAAATGAAAAAGAAATCGAAAAGATTACTTAAAAAATCGTATAATTTATTTTACCAAAATTATGAAATAAAAAGTTGACATATTTGGTTATTAGATATATTGGGTCAATATATTAGTGCAATAGTGCTACGTATGAAGTACATAAATATTTTGTTCTTTAATTAGATCAGTTCCATGAATCATAATTAGTTACAGCCAGACATTATACTTTTATTCAGTGTAATCAAATAAGTATTCTTGTAAAATCAATTTCAATCATTTTCATCTAGTAATAAATCAACTTCAATTGGAAAAAATAATACTTTAAACGCGTAAATATCCCATGAAGAGAACACAGCTATAGACATGACCAATTTATTCATGTTAGAAACATAGTGTATCTGCACACAATAATATAGTAAAGGGTTCTTCAATTTCATAAATGGGATTTTCTAAAATCAATTGATTTAAATTGATGAATGATGATTTTAGAAATTTCCTTTATAGGGTTTTTGGTTAATTAATTTGACGACAAAGCTATCAAAATATGTTTATTTTTGTAATGATGATCGACAAACCGTAGAGAATATTAATTAATTAGGTATATTATATATATTTGGACACAAATCATTCAATTTTTTTTTATTTTTTATTTTTGAATAGATTCAAGGTTTATACTACTATATAATCAAATGATGATCTTATCCATATAAATTTTGATATGAAATCAAAGAGTTTTGTCATTTGTGGAAAGAATAAACCATTTCCATATCATAATTTTAATTTTGATATGATATCAAAGAATGGTGTCATTTGTGGAATAATGAATCATGCACTTCCATATCATAATTATTCATTATAATATTCTAAGAAATTATAATATGGAAATAATAATGGACGTATGTACATAATATGATCATTTTCCATATTTACCATGACTTTCCATGCATAATTTTATTTAACCCCTATAAATATAAATCTTGTAATAAAACCTAAACAAACCATTCCATCTTCTTCTCTAAATTTCTTCAACAATGGAAAAAATTCAAATTATTTTACTTTCATTACTTCTTACTAGCCTAATCTTAATTTCTCCTACACTAGGAGCCCTTAAACAAGGTTTTACAACCGATCTTATACACCGTGACTCTCCATTGTCTCCATTGTACAACCCTTCCCTAGACAAATGGGAACGTGTAAGGAAGTCCATACAACGTTCGTTCTCTCGAGTCAGTCGATATAGCCTAACATCATCGGTGTCTCTTAACGACGTTGTGTCCGAAGTGAAGCCTGCTAGAGGGGAGTATCTCATGGAGGTGTACTTAGGTACTCCACCAGTTAAACAACTTGGGATAGTTGATACCGGAAGTGACCTTATTTGGACACAATGCCAACCTTGTACAGAATGTTTAAAACAAAAACTTCCCATTTTTAACCCTAGAAGGTCCACCACGTACAAAGTCCAAAGTTGTGAGTCCAAAGCGTGCCAGGCTTTGGACCCTAACCAAGCCTCGTGTAGTACAAGAGACACTTGTGAGTACACTTATACGTATGGAGACCAGTCCCATACTCATGGGGATGTGGCCGCGGAAACCTTGACTTTTAAGTCTAGGACCCGCGGTAACTCATCCTCATTCCCTAAGATTTCCTTTGGTTGTGGTACTGATAACTCTGGAACTTTTTCAGAAGAGGGATCTGGTTTAATTGGTCTAGGGGGTGGGCCACTTTCATTGGTTTCCCAACTAGGCTCGTCGATTGTGGGTAAATTCTCCTATTGCCTAATCCCCTTAGCCGTCGATGGGAACTTCACAAGTAAAATTAAATTTGGGACAACAGGAGAAGTGTCGGGACGTGGTGTTGTCTCCACACCCCTAGTCCAAAAGAGTCCCGAAACATTCTATTTCCTTACTTTAGAAGGAATAAGCGTTGGTAACGAAAGAATACCCTTCGCTAGTTCCAAACGTTCTCCTTTATCCACCAACAATTACGGGAGTGAAGAGGGTAACATAATAATCGACTCAGGTACCACATTGACCCTTTTGCCCGAGGGTACGTACAGCCAGTTATCCAATTCCGTGAAACGGGTTATTCGAGGCACACCCGTGTTGGATCCATCCGAGACATTGGACTTGTGTTACAAAGCAAGTAGATCCCTTAAGTTACCAAATTTAACAGCACACTTTACAGGGGCGGATGTACTGTTGACGCCGGATAATACATTTATTAATGTATCAGAAGATGTGGTGTGCTTTGCTTTTGTAGCAGCACAAGATATTTCAATCTTTGGTAACGTAGCTCAAGCTAACTATTTGGTGGGATATGATCTTGAAGAAGGGACAGTCTCCTTTAAGCCTACTGACTGCACTGAGGGGCAGTAAACAATCATTTCCTATCAACTAGATTAGTAGCGTTCATTTAAGTTCTTATGTTATTTATTTTATTGCAATTTATTTCCCGTTGTCTTGTAAGATGAATTTTTCTTTCTTACTTGAATAAAAGAATGTTATTTAGATGTAATTTATATATTTAATTTGATAAGCTAATAGTTTTTGTTTGCTCGAAAAGAGTTTGGATCACAATAAAAAAAAAAATGTCATTCTTTTTCATACAATAGAGTAGTACTGAAGTTTATAATCATTCATATCAACTGACTGAATTCAAAGTTTTACCAATAAACGACAGCAAAACATTCGAGCACACAAAGTTTCTGCAGCACAAAATAAAAAAAATTGTCAGAACAATGTATTATAGCTACAGTGCAGCAAAAACTAGCTGTAACTCTTTAAGAGCTTCAGCAAGTATCAGTAGGCAACTCTATGAATCCATGGAAGAGAATGTGCTCATACTCACCACTAAATGTTAGCCTTCAACCTTGGAAGACATGATTCACGAGCTTCCTTTCTGCATTCATAGGGCTTACCTGTACCATCATGAACTACATTTTCGTATAAATATGTATTCTGTTCTTGACACTCTTAATTAGATGTATCATCACATCATGAAGTGTAAAATAAGAAAACATCAGAATATCATAGCAAAATTAAGATAACAGCGTAATTTTTATATGAACATTCAGATTATCTTCTCATTATCAGAGTAGTATATTGAATCAAGTTACAACATAGCACAATTGTTACCACTGATAGGTACATTGCTTCAACACAGCACATATCTAGCTTAGAATAAATGTTTCATAACCGCATCTTTGAAGATCTATCCAACTAACAACAAAAAATGATCCCTAAAGATGGGCATTTCCCTTGTATGATCCACTATTTCTCACCCTGTCAAATTCCAATACTCAAACCAATCAAGTAGTTGTGCTGTGCAAGCTAATCAGAATAGTAACCTAGTCTATACACTCGAATACTGCAGCCTCGAGCATGGTATAAGTTAAGAAAACTGAAATCTCATCAAAAGCCTAACAGATGGGAGTTTCTCTCCCTTCCTATCAAAAAGTCGGACTGATCTAATTCCGGTTTTAAGCTCTGATATTGGCAAACACGTTTGCCCTCCGAAATCATCCTTCTCTGACATGTCATATTCTCTTACTTCAATTTGAAGCAGAGCCAACTCTGGGACGGTTAATGGAAATGTGAACTCCTGATCCCACACAGGTGCCCAATCATCTTCTATGACTTTCGTTTTCTGTTTGGCATAATCTGCTGGAACTCCCAATATGCGAAACTGCTCACATAACAAATAAAAATCTGCCAATCAGCTTCAGATCTGACTTCTTCAGGCAATATGACACAAATAAAAGTACCAAAATAAAGTATTCCTTTTAGGTTGCTGTAGCCTTCAAAGAATCAACATTACAGGATTATAATTAGCAATTTAATCATCAAACATATGACTATTTTCATCCAGACTGTTAAAGACCAAAACAGGACTTGTGAGTAACCTAGGCAAAATCAAGTCATCGTACTCAAACTAAAAGATATACTATAATAGACTTCATGAAAACAGGCCACGGAATTTAACAGGACTAACCTTCACATAGAAATCTGGTGGAGAAAAAGTATCGAAGTGAGTTTTGCTAAAATCCAAGCGCCATCCATCTCCCAAGTATGCCCTAACCTGCAAGTGTCACGCAGAGTTCAGCTGAAGAACAGTAGTAGCTTAGCTAGAACCATAATTAGAATGATCATTTATCAGCTGACCTTCAAAGTCTTCTTCACTTCTAACGGGGCCTTTGGATCAAATACCTCACCATTTGGACCTTTTTTCATCAGAAAATCAGGCTTTTTGACAAAGCCACAGCCACCATTAGATCGAAACATCCCTTGCATTAACCAAAGAGATTTACCATATCCCTGTATTTCAAAGGAATAAAAATCCATTGACTCCATCAGATAATAGATACAAAACCAAGAAAAAATCATCATATCAGTGAGAACCATAAAAAACTAAACATTAAATCAGATATAGAACATAAAAGGACACTGAATCAAAGTTACCAAGCAAAGGACCAATGCTATAAAAAAAAGCATACAGAAACATGCTTCAATTTCCTAAGTTTGAGCACACGCACGAAACGCATTCAAAATCGACAAAATTAATCAAACTAGCTTAATAGCAAATTAAACTTGTTTGCCTCAAACATGAAAAAAAAAAAAAAAAAAAATGAAAGAAAAAAAAAAACCAATTTAGATAAAAACAAAAAGCTTTTTTTTCTTCTTTATTTTTTTAAAAAAATAATAAAAATAAAAGGTATCATAAATTTAATAGCTCAGCGACAGTAATCAAAGCTACCTGCATGTTAAAAGCAACCATTTGAGCCCCATGCATCCATCCAACCAATGGCTCATAGTTTGAAGATCTAATACGTGTTCCCTTGGGATAAATCCTAAGAAAGTTTCTCTGCGTGAACCTACAATTTTGCAGCAGCAAGCATGGCTATCAGTGAGTCTTACAGAAATAATGCAGCAGAAATTGCTGCAGTGAGAGAGCAGTGTACATCAAGACAATACCCACTCACCTCACAACATCAGGTCCATAATTTAATGCTGCCCTTTCAAGAGCCTGTTCACTCAAACTAAGACGTTTAACTTTATCTAAACCAGTTCTAAGTGCTTCTCTCAAGCCATTCTTTGGTTTGCCCGCGTGAATAGCAATCAGACGTTTGTACTGTGGTGCAACCAACTGACCAGATTTACCATCAGACGCAGCATCACTGTCTTCATCATCTTGATCACTTTCACTATCACCCTGGGTACTATTGGGTTGCGTATCATCTCCAGATGAAGCTGGTGAGGCACTCCCCTTATCTTTGCTTTGTTTGGCCTCAAGGTATTCTTTTGGTGGTTTGGTTGAAAGAAGTATTCTGAACTTCAACTCTTCCGGTGAAGGAAAATGTTCTAAGTGATGACACTCCGGACAGTACAGCATCTCCCCAAATATTTCAGTCACCATCTAGAAGAACAACTAATATGTTACAAGATGAAAAGCAAAAGGCACAGAAGACATATATAGTTTGATGCAGGGGGTAAAAATAAATAAAGAGTTCATGGAAAACTACCTTTGCAACTTTAGCTTGAAGGTCGGGAGTAAGGTGGTCTTCCAATGTTATTATCAAGGGATATGAAGATGCTACAAAAGCATGTTCTTTTATAGACTTCAAACATTTGATGAGCGACACTGGAGTTGTAAAGGTCCTACAAATGAAGAGAAAATTCAAATGTTAAGATTTAAGAAGGTCTAAAGAGACACAAGTAAGGTGTACACATTCAGAGATCGGACTCAAAGAAGTTCACATACCTTCCATGAAGAACATTGATATCGTCTTTTGCTGAATTAGGCCAAATATCAAGTTCAATCACCCTGACTCCTCTCTGCAATGCCTTAATTATTGGTACATCACTGCAGTCACTGCTGAGCTGATTCCCCGTTAAGTAAGAATTATGACCCGTGAATATGAAATAATGTTGCATTGGAGCAGTCATGTCATGATGCACCTGTGAAAAAATAACAATAAAAATATGCTTTATGTCAAGAGAAGACTACATATTCCCTGCAGGAGATCATTCATAGAATCATGTGTCAAAAAAAAGATAAGTTAAACTTTGACAATCATCAACTCAGCGCAAAGAAGTCCAATAGGCTAAGAAGTCCAATAGGCTAAAACATTGTCTTCAAAAAATGCTTGAAGTATAATTGAAGTAGCAGCTTGCATACTTGCTCAGGAAATTCAGATTTCTTCATAGTTAATATTGTCTATATTAAGTGTGTTAGGGTCCATAACACACATTTTTAGCAACAAAAAAAATCCACTTTCAAATGCTAAAAGTTACAACTTCAGCAGTAACTCCAGTAAGTATGGTCAGGTATATACTGTACTCACAGAGATACTCCTCCAATCTGAAGTCTTGAAAATTGTCTCAATGTACCGCCAAAGTAACACCTACACTTCCTCAATACAACAAACTACCGTTGCTATTTCTATCAGAACAACCCACTTAATTTTCTTTTGAGACTTTCAATTTAAACTCAAAACCCTCAAAAGGAGCAACAAAACCATCTATAATAACTCGAATCAAGAACAACAGTTCCAAGCACCCAGCTTTCGCCTCGTGACATTGAAGCCAGCATTGACAGCATAACCCAAATGGATTTTGATTCCAACCATAAATACCTTCACACCCCATTTGGACCATTTCTCCTACAAAACTCCAAATCATATATAGCAATCTTCCCTAAAGTCAAAAGCATCTAAAATTACAAACTATTCCATTACACCAGAATTAATTACTGCCAATTTTTAACCATAAATAACCCCACATACATTTCCCCACAAAACCTCCAATCACAAAATTCACCCCTCAGTCAATACTTACCACCTTTACACAAAAATTCACCTTTCCAATCACATTTTAACATACAGACAACTGATGATCAGTTGACATTCCTCAAAAAGAAATACAACAAACATATTCTGTTTCCCTTTTCCAAAACCCAAACTAAATTCAATCCCATCAAAAAAAAAAAAAAACATTTTCCATCCACAAATTACCCTAATCAAATAATTCCGTCTACATCATTTACACTTTGTGACTCTCTATACACCCGAATAAACAAAAACCCACCCGAATAAGCGAATACCCACTTTATATTAATTCTTAAATAATTCAATCCTGTCCGATCCAATCCAATCAATAATCAACCAAAAAAAAAAAAGGGAAAAATTACCTGGGAATTAAGAGGAGAATTAAGATCATCAGAAAAGAGAAAAAAGAAGAAATCATCAAGAGTCAACCCTTGGCGCGTAAACTTGCTAAGATGTCGTCGGCGTCGAAGAATGTCGTCGAGAAGACGAGTAGCGTCGGGCTCCGTCGTATCCTCCGCCTGAAAATCGACCAGAAAACGGTGGAGTTGCGCCGCATTCATGTGGGTCCCTTTTTGGGAGTAAATTGTAAAAGCTTCAACAAGATCAAATGGTGGTTGAATGTCATTGATCTTAAACTTTCTATTGAAACACATAAACATCTTGTAATTATGATGGGTACTACTACTCCCCATTTTTAATTTTTTTTTTTTTATCCAAATAAATATTATAAATTGTGAAAAAATATGATTAAATTTGAAATGGATTAAAATAAATTGAGAAATGAATGAAGAAATGTATGTATTTGAAGGGTTTTGATTGGAAAAAATGGAGATTTATGGAGGTAAGAAAGTGGGAAAGAAGGGAGATTTTAAAGTTGTTTGTCTTTGTATCTAATTTGATTTGATTTTTGATTGGTGAGAAAATAAATAAATGTAAGTTCGAAATAAAAGAAATAATAGTGAGTGTTGTCCTTATCTGAAAATAATAATCGTAAAACTGTTGGTGTTGACCGTTAAATATAGCAGTTATCATTAACACGGCTTCGCTACGTTTTTCCCGCTGCTTGGGTTGCTCAACTTTGATTTGTTTTTTTGGATGCATTAGATTGTGCAATAAAATGGTTATCATTTATAGAAAAAAATGGTTATCATTAATGATGGAGGAATTATCTTTTCAATTCACTCTTAAAATATCTAGTCACTAGTCTGCTAATCGGAATGGGTTGATTTATAGGAAGATTAAATTAAAGCCATGTTTACTAAATAATATTAAATAAAAATAATTTCAGTTTAATAAAAATAAGTTCAGTTCAGTAGAATTCAGTTTTCCTAAAGAAGAATTATAATCGAAGATCAGTAAAAATAATTTCAGCAAAAATAATTTAAATTCAGTAAAATTTATTTAAGTAAAAATAATTTAAGTTCAGCATATATAATTTTGTTTCAAAAAAAATAATTTTTATTCAGTAAAAATAAGGTAAAGTGAAAGGAGTCTAACTGTGTCATTCGCTTAATATATAAATTAAAAAATAGAGGAATTGTACTTACAAAGTACGTAATTAGGGTGCTTAAATAATTTGATAGGCCAAACAATATAGTTGTTACAATAAAAATAAAAATAAAAAAATACAGAGTTTATACATATGGTTAACAATAAATTTATGATAAAGAATTATATGAATTAGAGATATCTATGATAAAATTAATTTTTGGAGTAAATAAACTACAATTACTCTGTGTAATAAACTTAAACTTTTAGATGTAAGTATTAAAATAAAAAAAAATATAATAAAATAAAATAAAATAAAAAATAAAAATCTTATAGGTGTAATGACCCGAGATATTAATAATGGAAAATTAGTTTGATTATTTAATTTTGTTCCTATGGCATGGGGCATCAAGTATATGTGAGATATCACCCATATCAACATTGGACATGTGGCAAATTAAGGGCAACACCTCTGACAAATATCGGATCGACATAATATATGTCGCCACCAACCCACCACTCTTCAGTCTTCTTCCCTCATCAGCAAATACTATAATTGATAAATACTCATATTCCATTAATTATAAAAGAAAAGTACAGTATCTGAATTTTTAATTATTTTATGGGAAGAATAAATGTTTATGTATGTGAATTTAAATACACTTACACATACCATAATTAAATTGATAAGAGTAGAATTATTTGCTGGCTATGACGTACAAAAGGATGATTAAAGTTAATTACTTGGATTTGAATAATACGAGTATTAATCACCTCAAATAAAGCTGATGAATGAAGACCATTTCTTTAATATCACAGACGTGTTTGTTAAGATTTAAGAGGGATACAACAACTTTCTAACTATTTATTAACAACTTTCTCATGTGAACGTTTCACATACTTGCCACCATCTAATTTAATCAACTATATGGACATAAGCTAACCGTCCTTCATTCCTTCAAACTTCATTAAGTATTCATCGTATTATCAGTGATCGACCTCCAACAATATATTTTACAAGTTATATTAATGATGATAATTTTTAGTTGACGATCATAAAAATGTTGATATATTTTTTTTTCAAATATAATACTCCCTCCGTCCCTAAATTATATATTTTTATTTTTAACATTTATTCCTCACATAATAGAGGAAAGTAGGAATGTAATTTAGGGACGGAGGGAGTACTCACTATATGTATAAAGTTAAACTGATTGTGTTTTCATGAATTATATTGATTTAATTTGTTTACTTTTGACTTCAACTGAACTGAATTAAGCTGAACTGAACTGAGCTGAGCTGAACTGAACTGAATATTTTATAAGAGAATGAAATTAGGAGCTGAACTGAAATAAACTGAATTGAGCTGAACTGAACTGAATTTTAACGTAAGAGAACAAACCCTTAGTATGGTGTATTTTATTTATTTTAAAAAAATCTCTAAGATGTTTACGTTAACTAAATTGAACATAAATCTTTTCCTTTTTCACTTTTTCTTTGGTAGTTATAATAGGGGTATTATGTAATCTTTACCATGGCTTATTGTTAATGACAAAAACATCTTTATCTTTTGGGAATACCCATATACAACATAATGACACAGAAGTAGATCAAATTAAGACAAAAGCTATCAGAAATCTTCTATTTTGGAGCTACATTCAAATAAATCTATAAAGATAGGACAAACAAATCTAATAGTCATGAAAGTTTAGAACAGAAAATTTTAGTACTTGAGCAAATTGTCGGAGTACACTATAAAACTTGATTCACACAAAGACTAATTGTAATAGTATCTTAAATAGTGTTCATAAGCAAACTTTGTACTGTACTATTTTACAAGCATTTTTTTTTTAACAGTGAATTTAGTGACCAATGACCCTGCTGTTCAAACATTCAAGGGAGAAATTGCAATAAACCAACCCTAGTATTCCGTATAAGAGTACGTTATCTACCAACAAAAACCCAATAAACTTTTTAGGGAAGTAAATGTCCAATTATCCACTCAAACCGATAGAAGTGACAAATTCATATATGCCCTATAAATAATCCAATACAAATTCCGATTTGTATCGACATATATCAAACTCGATCCATTTACCTGAATTGACACGTCTACTCAAACTCGTAAAAAACATCCGAAACACCATTATTATTATACAAAACTAAAAACCCTTAGAACTACACATAAAAACATCATGAAAGCGAATACGAGTAACCAATTAGCCGGACAATCAACATTCGGTAGGAAATCGGGCGTTAATAGTTACTTCACTTACTTGTATTACTTATAGAAAACGGGCCTGATCTAAAGAGTCCGCTAATCAGTGATCTTCTGATTTCAATCTCCTACCAAAAAAGGAAATCCCTAAAACTGGAAATCAAAGTGAGCTCAGAAATATGGCGATTTCCAAATGGATCATATTTCCTGCTCTACTATGGCTTCTCGCTCTCTTCGGATTCTTACTTCTTATTCTGGTATTTCTTCATTATCTTTTTTTGTGTGTTTAATTTCATTCTAAACTAGTATATAATCTCATGTTTTTTCACCTTCAATCTCTCAATTTATCAGTGTTTTTTTCTTGATTTAATCTCAGAATTTGCATCTTGTCAAATCCAATTTCTGTTTGATTCAAAAAAATATACAAAAGATTGTAAATTTGTCAACTTATGGTAATCATTTAAGTGATCCCGGGTCACCTCAATTGCAAAAAACTAGCGATCCGCTCGTTAAAAGTGAGGTTTTAGGGACTAATGATGAGGTGAGCTTATAGTTTGTGTTTGATTTGGTATTACCCATTTGGGTTTTTTTTTTTTTTTTTTTGGCAATTTTACATGTTATATAGTCAATTGGTGTTTATTTGATTGGAAAGTATGTGTTTTAGGGGAAGGTGTCGGATGGAGGATTGAAAGAAGTGACTCACCGGGTTTTCTTTGATGTCGAAATCGATGGGAAGTTTTTAACATATACATTTGAGAAATGTTTGAATTCTTGATGAGGTTTTGAGGTGTTTTATGAGAAATGTAGCTGCTGGTTTAAGAAAAATAACAAAGGAAAAGAGAAAAGAGGTTCAAATTGTTATTGCATTAGAAATTTAGAATGGTTACTCGTGATCATAATAGCTTAGTGAAAGATTTTGTTTGAAAGGTGTGGATTTTGTCTGCAAGTATTCGCTGGACGTGTTGGTTTTTGCTTAAAAACTAGCAATCTGGCATATAATGTTATTCTGTTGCAAAATAATTCACAGTTCTGACAGTTCATAGCATAGTTCCTGTCATGGCCTGCATTTTTATTATCACTTACTTTTGCGTGGTATGGTCGGCTTGAGGTATCTGTTACCTGTATGCATAATTTGCATGACGAACATTTTTCTTATTTCCATGTGGATACATGCATTAGTATTGACAAAGGGCAAGCTGTAGCTATCTTACTTGACAACTCTAGCTCAAAACCGAGAGTTTTGTTGTTTGGGAAGACATGTGAAGGCAGATGTATCATTTTAGGAATAATGACACCTTTTCTAAGAAAACTCCTATCATTGCTGAAATAGCTAAAATGGCCACAGGCCCACATTTGATGGTTAGAATGGGATTGGTGTAAAATTTGGCTTATTCAATTATCTTGCTAGCCTTTTCTCTACTTGTTTGTACTCTTTGTAGCAAATTTACAGGTGTAAATGCGTATATAGATTAAAGTCTTATGAAAAAGGCCTCCTCCCTATTAAGCCTGCATATATCTAACACCCGTATCCTCTGAAAAATTTATCGGCAGTATATCACACAGTTAATTAGTTATATGACAGGGACCTCTTCTCTGCAATGAGCCTCGATAAGGCTTTAATGCTCAATAAACCACACCTTCAAAATATCTGCATAATATAGGAACATCTGCATTAGATGGCAGATTTAGTTATGATTTAAACATGTGTAATGTGGGATTTAACCTAGCTGGAAGCATTACTGACTATTGAGTTTGAATTATTCAATCTAGACTTGGTACTTTCCTCCATTTTAACCAAGTATGGATGTTCTTCTTTTCACATACTTCTCAATGGGGATGAGTCATTGGTAGAGATAGGGGGGAGATGTAGGAGAAATAAAAGTTAAAGTCTTTCCAACATAACTTCAGTACTGTAAGCTATGGAGCAGATAAATTGAACTCATCTTCCTTTCCCTAAGTTAATATATGTTCTTCGTATCCAATTGAAGGATTAGTGTCTTCATACATTTTTAAGCAAAATAACGTTGCTTTGATATTTTCCGGCATAGAGACATAAGAGTTTATATCAGTTACTGTCTAAATGTCTATCATATATAGATCAAGGTGGCTCATTAATGAATTCCATTCAATACACATTTAGATTTCATAAGAGCAGTCCCAACTGTTTTGTATTCTGGAACTATGTGATTAAAATTTCCATTATGTGAAGGGAATCTGATTATTATTTGTTTATTTTTCAGGACGAATTGTTATGGGCCTCTTTGGAAAAACAGTCCCCAGAACTGTAGGTACAGTTCTCAGTTTACTTAAATGCTCCATGTTAACTGCACTGGAAAATCACTCAGTGTTATTTTTTTTAATCTTTTTAACTGATGGGAAAATCTATCTTTTTTGCAGAGAATTTTCGAGCACTATGCACGGGTAGCCATGTAACTTTTGCTCCCTTTCTTTTAGTTTTTGCCTCTATTCATGGATCCAATTGGTGCAATTAGTATCTACAAATTTCCAGCTATATCTAATTTCCTTACTTCTTTCTAAGAGAGTGATCTTCAAAAATATTAAGAATTCGAGGCTAGTGCTCTTCTTTTTGCATGTTCTAGCCAGATGATGAACGCATCTTGCACATGGGTTTCTTGTGATTTACCTGTCCGGCCATCCGAGCATGTGATTTACTCTTTAATTAAAAACATACAATTCTGCCGTCAAATAGTTGCTTTATAAATTGTTAGGTGATCTGAGTGAATGTTGTTTTAGAAGCATATTTGTTATGACTTTACAAGTAATGAGAGTAATTGGCCGTATATTGTCATGAAATCCACATGCCATTGCCACCTTTGCAGCTTCTGAAGCTAATTCCCATATGCTACCTGGACAAGTGTGTTTCAGTTTTATTTCTTGCCTACACTCATCTTACTATTTAAGAATAATGGAGGATCAACCATTTTTGACAACATTTCCATGAAAGTTTGCATTTCTTGCTGGTATAAATGATAGTATGAGCTACACTTTACATTCTTGACAATGGATTATATAAAACCAACTAGAGTTGACTAGCTGAGGTGACTTACTGAACTGGATCGGAATAGCTTTGTCTTAACATTGAATTTTTATGACTTAAATAGATCGCTAATTATTGCAGGAGAAAAAGGAGTTGGAAACAATGGGAAACCTCTGCACTTTAAAGGAAGCAAGTTTCACCGGATCATTCCAAGTTTTATGATTCAGGGTGGTGATTTCACTGTTGGTGATGGCCGCGGTGGAGAGTCTATATATGGTGAGAGATTTGCAGATGAGAACTTCAAACTGAAACACACTAATCCAGGTAGCATAAATTACCACACATATTCATTATACTGGAGCTGTTTTTTTTTTTTTTTTTTTTTTTTTTGAGGGGCAACATGTTTATTTGTTTATCTTAATTTATTATATTTTTGCATTATGAGAATGCACCAGAGAAGCTGGGTCAAAGTTTCCTTGGGCTAGCCTTGTACCTTTTCTTTTGTGCAAAACTTAGCCTTGGTATGATTAATTTGTTCAAGAGTTATCTTTCTGAGGAAGTGGGTATGCTATGGGCACATGCCTTGACAAACTAGCTCCACTGCTACTAAACCGTAATGCTTCTAATAATGATTATAGTATTATATTGCAAGAATATGATCTGCAATTGTTTGCATAGCACTTAACTTCTCGTATTTGAATAAATCTTTTTGCTGCTTACTTTGGCCAGGAATTCTTTCAATGGCAAATGCTGGACCTGATACCAATGGATCACAGTTCTTTATTACAACTGTTAAAACAAACTGGTAAGTTGCTAAGTTTTGGATTCTGTTATATGTTTCTTGTTTATAAAACGGTGAGAGAGGGGGAGAGGGTGGAGGGCAGTTGGAATTGAGGCTCTCATGGCCCTTTCTTTCAGAATTTCTTGTTTCTTTTCATTAAAAAAAAAGAAAGAAAGAATATCTTGTTTCTTCTTATCAAAATCCAGGAACTTAGCTTGGTAACCATCCATAAAACTTGGCAGAATTATGCATATCTAACTATTATTGCATATCCTTGGCCGTTCAATATTTTTTGTGGATTCCACAACCCAGGTTCTGCCAAGTGGTCATCTAATTCACATTTTGTTAATTTTGCTATTAATTTAGTTCAGTTAAGATTATGAGTAGTATTAACGGGAAAACATTATATTTACACAATGCTTTGGTACTTAAACTCATTATGATATAAGAGTGGAAAATAATTTACAACAAACGTTAACGTCTAGGAGCAGGATTTTGATGCCAAGTCCAAATCACCAAAAACCCAACCAAAATAGACTTTTTCCCTGGCACAGTTACACCTGTCACATTGCGCTAAATTTGTCCCAAGCTGCGTGTCCATATGATTCTCTTTTAGCTTTAGATGAGGTTGTGTTGGTTTGTGGTCATTGTCGAGCTTTTGGAGGGGAGATATTAGATAAGTGGGACTCAATTCTAATAAACCTTGATGAATGCTTCAACTAAGGTTGTAATAATTTTTCCATTTGTGGTTGCACTTTATAGGTTGGACGGGCGGCACGTTGTGTTTGGTGAAGTGTTGTCAGGAATGGATATCGTTCATAAGATTGAGGCGCGTGGTACACAAAATGAGATACCAAGAGGCAAAGTTGTCATATCAAATTCCGGTGAAATAAAATCATCGTCGTCTTGAGTACAGAAGGCGTTGCACATCTTCACTCAGTAGCCCTTGGAAGCTGGCACCAGTGAGATACAGCAGACTTTTGATATTTCTTGGACAAACATATACTAGCATCTTGTACGATGTTGACATAATTGTAATCCCAGCATAATATGCCACTATGCCACTTACTATCAATATCTTCTTTTTGCTGAATTGCAACATCCTGCACTTTCAATGCATTCTTCTATATTCTGAAAGCTATGCGGGAGATCATGTAATTGCATAAATACATAATTATTGTACTCCGAGTCTTATAAATCTAGCATATATTCATGACGCGTCAATCAAGATGTTGGGGCCTTAGGGGTTGCTAGTCTAAGTAATTGTTTAAATGATTAGTTTAGGTGTTTGGCCAATTAGCCTAAGACACCTCGACGGCTCGACCATTGAGTGGTTGTTACGAGGTGACACCAACCTGACCGCTAACGTTGCTAGAGGCTGACAGAACCTCTAGAAAGAATAGCTTCCTTGCACTACTAGAGTGCTAGTTGCCTATGGCCTATGGGAATTAGTTGCACTGGGCCATGACAGTTTCATGTACTAGATTCGAGTCGTTCAACTTGAAATGGGGAACATAACATGGTATTTTTCTTTTCACCTATCATATCATATGAATATATGATTCATATCAATAGGTCAAATAAAAATGTACTAGTTCATTCATAGTTGAAATATCACACAATTTGCAGCATTTATGCAAGTTATTCAATGCCATTTTCTCCTAGCTTAGACTCCTTATCCAGTTATCCGTATTCTTCAAATAATTAAATGTGCTCATGCAAGAGAATTAGATGCCAGGGTATCATGCTGCACTTTTACTCCCACCTATGTCCTTTTCAAAGATGCTTATTGCTTTTACCAAATCTTTTCACCTGTGTTTGATCAAGATTCATATAAAAATCAGTGATCTCTTGAAAATTCGTCAACTAGATTCCTATATTACGACATTGAATACAATCAACGCGCTCCCTCTTACACACGCGCCAAAAAATATCTCACATCGGATGTGGTGTGTAAGATATTTTGAAAATATCTCACTAAACTTGAACAGTTGAACATATCCCATAAACGAGTTTGAGTTGAAATTTCTACATCTAACTCGTTTAAAAATAATAATTTCGGTTGGATTAAGGGATTTGCATCCTATTTGTGATCAACAAAGACTTTAACTTGACTTGATACGATATATTTGTTATTTCTAACTACATAATAGATGGACTACAAATCTATAATCATCCATAAATCAAGACTTGTTGACTAGATAATAGCCTACAAGAGTACAAGATTATCATTATAAGTTTCTAACAAATACAAGAAAGAGAATTGATCACTTACCAGAATTGTAGCCTAAAAGAGCCTCCTAAAGCAATTAAAGAAAAATAGAAAACAAAATCATGTTGTGTTAACTATCAAGTGACTTGTTCAACTAGAATCCAAGATGAAAAGTTGGCTCATTAAAGAGAACAAACAAAAGATCATGCGTAAAGTGCTCCATTTTACATTTTCACTAGCATCAATTGGGAACAAATCAATACACTGGCAAATTCTAGCAGATTAGATTTAAATGTAAATGCCCTGGACTTTGTAGATGGGATGATCAATGAGTGACTATTAGGGCCTGTTCCGATTGACTGAACTGAACTGATTAATTAGTGATTTCTAGCTACGGATTAGTGATCTTTGAGTATTTATTACTATACATATGTGTATATACAAATGTACATATTATTATTATTATTATTATTATTATTATTATTATTAATTTTGATTATAATTTTGATTATTATTATTATTATTATTATTATTTATTGATGATTATTATTATTATTTATTGATTATTATTTCAATTATTATTGTTATTATTATTATTATTATTATTATTATTTATTGATTATTATTATTATTATTATTATTTATTACTTATTGATTATTATTATTATTATTATTGTTAATAATATTATTATTATTATTATTATTACTATTATTATTATTGTTGTTGTTGTTGTTGTCGTTGTAATAAGAGCTTAAAAGAATGAAATTTGGCTTTATATCATTAGCAATATCATTAGACGTAAATTAAGAGCTGAACTAAACTGAACTGAATTTCAACGGAAGAGAACATGCCCTTAGTCTTTGCATGAATATGGATAAATACAAATACGCGTATAAACCTCATCTAAATCTTTTAAGATCAATTACATTATACTAAAAGCGAAACTTAGAGGGACACTTGGCAACATAATGTAAAAAAATTTCCCTCCAAAATTACTTACTAAAAAAAAACTATTTTTACATTAAAATAAGGTTTGTATCTAAATTATAATTTATACTTTGTACAAAATCTAAAATAAACTTCCTTAACTATCAAATTGCCTATTATAACTAAGCTATTACATCATATTTAATTACTTTCTTTTTTACAGTATATATTTATTTTATACATTTTTTTTGGTAGAATTTAGTGTAATATAAGTATTTATTAACCGTGCATTGCACTGGATTTTAAGCTAGTTGTTAATAAAGAGGAAATACATTATTTTAGGAGTTCATGTGACGATAAAAAGATAGACAAGAGTGATAAAAAAAAAAATCGTATATGATGAAGATATTAATAGAGCGACTAAGTGAGATCACATACAACTTACGAGTTAAAGAAACAATTATATTGAAAATTCTTTTTTTTTTAAAAAAATGTATAGCAATTACATGCATCATAATAAGATTAATAACTTAATAAGGACTCTTTAATTGTTTGATGTAGCAAAATTTAATACTTTATTCTTAATCGTAATTCCGTAAAGTTTACTACATATCTAATATCCATCAGCAAAAGGACTCCGCGGTTGTCACACTATATATATATATATATATATATATATATATATATATATATATATATATATATATATATATATATATATATATATATATATATATATATATATATATATATATATATGTGTGTGTGTGTGTGTGTGTAAACAGGTGCACAATACAAAATTTGATCCACACCTACCAGATTATGCTATAATACTCCATATAATATTTTGTTAATTGGTACTCCTTGTTACAAAAACCAAAAATAAAAATAATAAAAATAAAAAATAAAGATAAAGTGTCAAAATATGTTCATCAAGTCATCATTCCTCAATCGATTTTGAATGTGTTTCATGTTGATTGCTTTTCTTAACCTATCATCAATCCTGGCTCCAGCTATCAAAAATAGACACATCAAGTGCTAATTATCCAGATGTTTTGAGTGCTAATCCTGATATTACACATTTCTAGAATTGACTAAGCATGAACAAATGGACAATTTCATGCCAATTATATGATCCTCAGCTCCAATCTTTTTGACAAAAAAAAAAAAAAAAAAAAAAAAAAAAAAAAAAAAAAAAAGATTGGAGCTGAGGATCATATAATTGGCATGAAATTGTCCATCTGTTCACGCTTAGTCAATTCTAGAAATGTGTAATATCAGGATTAGCTCCAATCTATGACATATATTGTCAATTTCTAACTTCATTTTTTACAATATGTTCAATGATTGATTGATTTTTTATTCTTTAAATCAAAGTATCTAGTACTGGATTAATGAGTATGTTACTTATTCAATACCTTTATCATGGGATTTTTTTTATAAGAACTAACGGAAGATCGAATTAAATCATCATAGATATTGACTTTTTGCAGTATTCATCACTCTTGTTTGACCATATAATATGAGTCATACGTTAAGCAAAATATAGTCAAGTGAGATCTTATTGGATTCGTCTCATATAATACTTTCACAATATCCACTTTTTATAATTTTTACACTTACATAATTGTAGATATTTAGCATATAAAATGTGTTTTGGGATGCGTAATTCCTCCTTGTTGCAATATTAACAGAACGGAGGAAGTATACATTAACTACACTTATAAAAGTTTTTTACTCCTTTTTAAATTAGTAGATTAAATTCGAACAAATTTAGTACAGAGTAAAAACTCATTACGATTCATTACCAATCAACGTTCATCCTTACATCTCATCTCATAGCTTAAATTACATAAAATTGAACAAAGGAGCCAAATTCTCCTTCATTATTATTTTTTTTTTCCTTGACAAAACTAATTAGTACTAGCAATTAGTACCACTTATTAGTACTAATAAATCACACCAAGGCAGATAATCTTTTTTATCTTTAAAATTCCCCTTTTACTCATTATTCATCCTTCCATTGCTACTTCCTCCCTTTCCTCCACCTCCTTGCCGTTGCTGCTTCACCCTTCCGGCGAAATTCCCCGACAATTCGGAGTAAATCGACGCGACTTTCGTAATGTTCCCATTCAATTCCTGAATGATGGCCACATTCTTAACCATATTATCCGGCCTCCTCGACTGGTGGTTCTCGTTAGCCTGCTGGATCAGCATCCTATTCCGGTCCAACACCGACTGCACCTGACTAAAACTGTCCGCAAACGCATTCCACGCCTCCGGATCCCTGCAACCGTCGCCGGAGAAATTGTTTGCAGTTCTCCGGCGACGGTTGCCGGCGCCGCCAACAGACTCCATGTTCTGTTGGCGATCGCCGTCTTCTAAACTCGAATCGCCTCTCGAGTAAGACATTAGTCAAACTTTATTTTATTTTTTATTTATATATTTTTTCAAGCTACCATAGGAGGCTACTTGGAGCTCTGGTTTGAGGAGAGAGACGGGTAGAAGAGGGATTATATAGAGGTGAGTCATCAAATGAGGCGCGTGAAAAAGAGTTGGGAAAAAGGGTAAATTTGGAATTTATCACGCGCTGAGGATGAGAGTAGGGGAGACTAGAGATGAAATATCCAAGGGCGGAGATATTTTTGTAATGAAAAAGTGCAAAAAGAGCAAAAGTGATTCTGCCACGTAAGATGGAAGGGTGAGATGGTGAATACGGTGTCGTTTTGGGGTATACTATGAATTGTAAGCACTTTTTGATAAGCTCTGGTTGAATAGTCTTTTGGATAAAGTTTCTGGTGAACTTGAGAAAAAAAAAATTGATGAACTAATAAATAAGGGATACAGGCTGGACTTTGAAATTGACATTTTTTTTTTTTATTTGAAACGAGTATATTGTACGGAGTATATTTATTTTTTAATTTAAAAAGTTATTCCCCCTGTTTTTAAATGTTTACTCAACTTTTATTTTTTACAACTTTGACGAATGTTTGTAATTTATACTTAAGAAAAAATAATGTCCTGTGTGTACTTGTTGAAATCGTATCAATTAATGGATTATTAATTTTTAATTGTTAGAATTTCTACTTATTGATAATTAAAGATATTATCGATTAAAGATTAACATTGACATACGTACTCAATAAAAATGGAACAATTCTTTAAAAATAGAGGGATTATTATACAGTATTTTTGTGCTTTTAACTGGTTTTGTCATTGTCATTGTCATTGTGATCGTTGTTGTTATTTAGGTAAACTTTTATGTACAATTGGTTGTATTATGTACACAATACATGATATAATCAAATAAATCATAGTATTACTCGTATGTATTTGTTGTTGACTTGTTGTATTGGTGCCTTGTGTGCAAATAACTAAAAATTAAATTATTATTTTTTGAAAGAAACTAAAAAATAATTTTGATTGTACCTTATAAGAAATGGTTATTTAACGAAAATCGTCCATAATTATATGCTAATTATTTCACTAGTGAGAATGTGAGATGTTTTACGTATTCTTGTTCATTTTGAAGTTTGAAATCCAATGAACACATTAAACTTTAGTTATAAAGTGGTGAAAATGGATTCATATGAGGAGATTAAACTTTACACAAAATAAACTTTTAGAGTATATTTATATGAAAATGGTTTCATATGAGGAGATGAAACAAACAAACCCTTATTTTCACCTATTTTACACAATATAAGCTCAAATAAAAGTTACTTTGTATTAAATTTAATTTTTAAAAAAATCAATAAAGTCAAACAAAGAATATACCCTAAATTGAGCCAAATATTACTAAGATATTTATGGATTGAGTATTGAGATGATTTTAGTACTTCCTTGATAATTTTTTATTTTTTTTTAAATGTTACCACTAAGGATAGTGAGAAGCAATAACATTTTTGAAGAATCATAAAAAAGGCACAAAAGAGCAACATATTAACGCCACGCTAGCAACTAAATATGTTTTTTTATTTTATTTGTCTTCTCATGATGTTATCTCAGAAGATTTCCTCTTTCACTTTTCTCATTATTATTCAAGATCAAACCATGCATTATCTTTTAACATTCTTGGTCCTCTTAGATAGTTGGAGTAACATGCTAGTCATCAGGGGCGGATCTACTAAGGTGCACAGTGAGTCACGTGACTCACCAGCACAACAAAAAAAAACAAAACTAAGAGACAAATAGGCGGTCTCTTTGTGCTTCTATTTGAGATTAGCCCACTGTTAGCTTTTTTAATATCAAAGAGACCGCCTATTGAAATATCATATAGGTGGTCTCTTTCTTGTTGCTATTGCCACCACGTCATTAGAGACCTGTTATCTAGATAATAGGTCTCTTTTTGTCAACCATTTAATTAGAATAACTTTTTGCGCTGCTTTCATATTACATTAAAGAGACCTGTTATATTTAATAACAGGTCTCTTAAGTTATCTTAATTTTTTTTTTAATAATAATTCTTGTTTTTAAGTAAAAAATCATAAAGTTAGTTTAATGTAATAGTTTTATGGTATGTATTTTTATATCCTATTTTTGGATTGAAATCATTTTGGTGAAATATAATTTTTTTTATATAATTTTTGGATTGAAACAAGTGATCAATTATTGATAGTGACTCATAAGTTCGAAAATTCTGGATCCGCCACTGCTAGTCATTTGCTATTGTTTATTTAAAATATGGTGTTTTGGTAATATAGCACTTTAGATTCATTGCATAATTTTATAACATAGTGAGCACTTTAAACATAAATGTTTGAATATGAATAATGTAGCAAATGAAAAGATTTTTGTGGGGAAATTAGAATATATAAACCATGTGGAAAAAATATAACTATATGATAAGAATGTCCAATAATTTGTTGCGCCAAACTAATAAGTCATCGCTCTATCACAATTTATATTGCACTCAAACACTTGCTCAATGTAGGGCGATCTAATATTTGGTGGGTGTATACATGTTATAGAAGTGATATACAATGTCATATGAATATATGTAGTGAAATTCAAATATCCGCTAGCTAGGGATATTGATTTTTGCGCGTCTAATCAAATAATTGTGCACATAGAAATGTTTCACAATCTGTATGTACTCTTCTTCACTATATACATCATTAACAAATAATAAGATTACTTTTCTGTGGATAACACTAGTTTGGACTATAGAGAAATTTTGTGAGAGTTAGATTAAAATATGAATTTTACCCTATAACTGTTCATCATGTAATAATAATAATAATAAAAAAAAAAGTATAATTGTTTATAATAAAAGCAAAAAGATGTTATAAATTACAAATAATAATTATATGTTCCACTTAGATACAAAATACATAGTAATAGCTACGTAATATATATTCTAAAACGGTAGAATAAAAAATACGTCCGTCATTCAATGATACAAAATGTTAAATACTTTACTTAAAACCAACCTTTATACTTTTATCTACAACGCTACCACTATTCAAAATTATACTTTGTATGTCACTAAATGCCTCATATTTCTTTATCCACCATCCAATCCACCATGTATGATGTATCTATCCTTACTTCATCATTTAAAGAAATAAAGGTAGTGGTTGGATTAATTATATTTGGTAGCTAGTTTTTTTTTTTTTTTTTTTTTTTTTTTTTTAAGTCTTCTAATTCATACTCGAAATAAAAAAACAATTTATTTGCTTAATTGTCATCCACGCAATCATCAATATTTTATACAGTTGTACATACTTGTATTGAACTTTCTCAAACATGTAAGACAATTTAATTTCAGAGTTAGGAAGTTAAAAAAAAAAACATTTTTAGATAAACTCTGAGCCAAATTCATTTCCAATCAATATTCATCCTTACAATACAGCCACATTGCATAAAATTTAACAAAGGAGCCAAATTCCCCTCTTTTTAGCTCCTCATTTGTTCAATGTTATTTTTTGAGGGAACTAATTACTAATTGTTTGGGTCCAATTTAGTCAAAATTGGGCCGGAGCATTAAATGATCCAATTAAAAGCCCAAGGTCAAGGTTCAACTCTCCAATTGCTCAAAAGTCAAAAGTCAGCCCACAAAGTAAGCCAATTGGGCAAAAGCCCAACCTCTCCAAATATGATGAGGTATAAAAGCCCTCATATTAACACATTCAAGGGGACATCTCATAACATCATATACACTATCAGACACAACAACACATGCATCATCACTTGCATTATCTCATACACCGATTATTGCAGCTCATATGCTCATTCTTGCATTGAGAAATACTCCACAAAAGCCTCAAGCTACAAACTCTCTTGCATAGTGTCTTCCTTTTTACACATTGTACTGACTTTAGCATCGGAGGGGCCTTCCTCGGAAACACCCCCGAGGCTAGTTTACGTGTGTTAACTGTGCAGGAAACCTTCGGCCCAACACAGCTTGGATCGAATCCAGTCTTCTCCATTTTAGTGGACCTTCGGCAAGGTCCCATTGTTTTCAACCGAAACAATTTGGCGCCGTCTGTGGGGAAGACTTTCAAAAATCTTTAAGCCAAATTCCTAACCAAGATCATCTTGCAATTATCTTAGCAGCCATGGCTAAGAACCGCAAGAGCAAAAGCCTCCGTCAAGGAGCGGGCGAAAAGCCTAAAACCCCTACACCATCGCCCTCGCCGGACCGGAACTCTCCCAAGGGTGCCGGCTCGGGGGGAGGATCACACAAGGAGGATTCCCTATCTCCTATAATGCATGACTCCCAATATAGGCCGGACCACTCTCGGTCTAGCAGGGGTCAGTCTGATCATAGGACATATTCGGTGTCCCAAAGCCAACCATCGGCTGCACGGCCTCATTACCACACTCGGCCGGGGACCCCTTTGACGGGGCCCAGTTCGGAGGAGGTGGCAAGAGCGCTGGCAGTACTCATGGAGGCAATGAGGGCACAGAATATGCCACCGCCTCGTGATCGAACTCCTCCGCATACCCGGCATCAGCGGAGGAAGTTAGACCATGACGGTGGGAAGCTTCCTTCCTTCCGGGAACTGGAAGAGTGGGAGGAGGATTCTTGGAAAAATGAAAAACAGAGGAAGAAGAACTCTCAATTATTTAAAGGATCCTCATCCTCAAGACCAGCAGCGCATAAGAGCAGCAGCTCAGCTTCTCGGCCAGAATCTACTCGCCGGGAACCTGAGACTGCTCGCAGAAGCGTCCTTGACCGACTCGGCGGCCAGGAACCGAGCGTGCGTAGTCGCCTCACGTTCCCTGCAGCCGAGGCCCAGACTTCCCAGCCAGGGACGAAAACCACTCCTACCTCTCTGAGAGGGCGGAGCGCGGTCCCTTCGGCCAGGAACAAGGGCAAGGCCATTATGCTTCCCGCTAGTTCACCATTCGAGCAATGGATACTAGAAGAGCGCGTACCCACGGTTAAAATACCGTCGCATATCACATATGACGGGACCACGGATCCGAAGGACCACGTGGCCTCGTATGAGACTCATATGCATCTTTGCCCCAGATCCGAGGCGACTTGGTGCAAATATTTCCCAACCACTCTCAAGGGGGTCGCGCAAGCGTGGATCTCCAAGGGAGTAAGGCAAGGCTCCATAACAGGTTGGG